TAACAAAATTAAGTTTAAAGATTATATAGCAGGCATTTAAGAATTTTAAAAATCCACTAAATAGTGATGTATAATATTATTAAACTTAATAATTATCTAGAACATTAGTGTTCTATACTTTATAAATGACTATCATTTCTATTTATTAAATTTTTTTATTTGGATCATAATAAATTAATGTATATTAAAACATTGATAAACAATTTAATTACAAGTTATAACTTGCAATGTTTAATAAAAATTAATATTTTGAAAAATTACTATTAATCATAATGACTAATTACTTATTCATTAAATACTAGTGTTGTTGATATGGTATTCAAATAGTAAATGAATAGGAAAAGCATTGTTATATTTAATATATTAGATTTTTAAATTAATTCATAACTTAATATTTAAGTATTTAAAACCAATGTTCATTAAATCAATAGACTTGAAATAGTCCAAGTACACCTTTCTTTTGAAATGTGATTATTTCTATATTAAAAAAAATTAATTCTTAATCTTTTGCTTCAAATTTTGTCGAATAAAAAGTGGAGAAAAATTTGTAATCATTTTCTTGAATACGTTTAAGTGTGGACTCGAATGTGGGATCAATTGTGAGACAATTCTCATCGACAGCCCAATCGTGGTATTTGTCCAACACTTGCGAGCACTCGGGTCTCATATCAGGATCAGTTGAACGCATTGATACCAATACGTGACGTAATTTGTCGACACATTTATTTAGTACTTCATTATAGGATGAATAAGATTGCGGACTATATTTATGGCAAATTTGCACAAAATTATATATAATTTATGTGTTTAATTTTAACATGACACTTACGTGGTTTCATCCAGATCAATATCAAATATGTCAAGTTCGCATATCTTGGCCAAACTATAAATATCTATTTTGTGGTTATATTTAACGCCACGTTTGCGCACTTCTGGTGCGATATATTTGGGCAATCCGTGGGCCGATGAGTGCTCGTGGAGGGTAGCCAACCCGAAATCGGACACTTTGAGAAACCTGCCGTTCCTCACATCCCGGGCCAATAATACGTTATCCGGTTTAAGGTCCCGATGAATGACGGGTGGACTCAATTCATGCAAATACTGGACGCACT